ATTGTTTTAAAATTTTCAAATAAAACTAAAAATAAAATAGAAAAATTAATTATTAAATACTTTTAAAAGTATTTTGGTTAGCTTTTTTTGTTCTTAAGAAACTATTTATCCATTTATTATGAAACATAATTAAGTATGAAAGTAGGATTGCAAATATTTTGCGAGATATATAGTATATTTCAATTTGCTGGACCTACAAATATGGGGTGTTTACTGTATGAAGGAGGCGTCCAAATTGGATGAAAATTTTATGAGGTGTTGGGAAAGGGTTCACCAACATCTCTTAAAATTTTCATCCAATTTGGACGCCTCCTTCATACAGTAAACACCCTATGTTTGTCTGCCCAGCAAATTGAAATACACTGTATGTTTTAAAAGTTACTAAAATAGCTAAAAATAATTATATAATTTTTCGAGATTTCGTTTTTCAATATTTGGATTTACTCCCGTCTCAATGTGTAATCGCTGTTTAGTATTTTTATACTTGTAGCCATGTTTAAACAAATCTCTTTAACACCATGCTCAAATTCTATTCTAAATTGTATAAGAATTAATACTTAAAAGGAATGTCTCTTCTCATTGACAGTCCATTAGACTGGCAGTTGTGATTGAAATGCTTACATAACATTAGTAATAAAACTTATGCCATAATTATACCGAGACTTCAGAACAATTTGGGTCTTAAAAAGAGTTTAGTATTATATATAACTTATATAAAGTACTTTAGTATAAATTTATATTTGTTTAATCTTGTTTCAAATGTATGCATTCAACGTACTCAACGTATGTATTCAATGATTGTTGTTTCAACCAGTCAAATGTACTTGATAGTTCATAGATCATATCAAATAATGATCACTGACAGCATAATTTTGTTGAATTTTATAAGTTAGATCATATTCAAATGCAATACAATATGATACATACACTTTTATTGACTTGATACTTAGAATGACACAATTGCATAACGGTATGACTACATTCAATAATAATAATAATAATAATAATACTGTAATTCATAATTCTATTATAATACTGTATTATAAACTATATAATAGAGTATTGAATTATAAACTCTCAAATTATATAATGTTATAAGTTATAACTTATTGCTATGATATTGCTGTGCAATGTATGTAACACTAAACAAATTAAACAAAGTCTATATTTGATTGATTCGTATTGATGTCAACGGAAGAAGACAGTGATTGAAACCATAATTTGTTGTTTGCAGTGATGTGTGCATTTGATTGTGTGGTGGGGTGGGTGTGGGGGGTATTGGTGGTGCCCAGTGGCCAGCTATATGGTCGAGCATAACGTTTTGTGAACATAGAAGTGGTGGTTATATTATTGCGGATTTTGTGCCCAGGGTCCGTTTCTAATGGTTTGAGCAATGGTTTAGATTTTTTGGTGAATACTTTGATATTTGATCGTTTGATGCATTTGATGTCATTTGCATTTATATAAAAGTCTTCGGTGTTAACGCTATTAACTACAGGATTCAGTATAAGACCAGTGGTCTGTAGTTTACTATCTCTGCCACTCATACACGACTCGGATCTGTATGAAGACCTTTGTGGTGATCTACGCAAACACTTCCATATGGATTGATATCTACAGGTGTTGTCTGTTGATGTGGTGGTGGGTCTGGTATGTGTGGAGGTGCGGGTGCGACGGCAACAGCAAAACATGATGACAATGACAAGTGTAGTGGAGGCCGAGGATATGGCCGAAGCCATGGCAATGTTGGCCACGGGTTGTCCACTCACAGCACTCGTCATTATCTCTTTGCAGATCATGTGTGCCTTCTGTCCCTCTGGCCATGAGTTGACCATTGAGTGCATGTCATCAGTGATGGCGTGATTGGAGTGAATGCACAGCTCATAGGGTGTCGACGGCTTTAACCCTTTGATGGAGTAGTCATATGTTTGGTTGTGGACATGGATGTCGTCTATTGAATTATTATGGTCTCTCACGTGATATACATTGACATTAAGAGTGGTGTATTGTCTGAGTTTAATAACCCATTCGAGTGAACGGCGCTGTCTCTGAACGGATGCAATAGTGGACAGGCGTTTGATTCTGGTTCTGGTAATGACCACGAATTTCCACTTTATGTGTATAGAAGTTGTTAATAAAGTGATGTTTAATAAGAGAGTTTGTAGTTTATGGATATGCCTGGGCTTCGGATCATTGATTTGTATGGAAACGGCTGCTGTGAGGCCTGTAAGCCCTGACACTCGTGGGCCTCCAGTCTCATCAATTGCATCAATAGCTGGCTTACTATCACTATTACTATTAGTGTTGGTATTGGTATTGGTATTGTTATTAGTGTCGTAGTGTTCATACTGTGCCGTAAAACTCATGCCAACAACACATGTGTTGTATAACATGATATAACACAACAATAACTTTAAACAAAACATCTTCCAAACACTTTTTGCTTACAATGAGACCAACCATTGGTATAAATGGTATAAATGCTGAGATTGTTATTGAGATGAAATATTGAGATTTGCAATTCTCTACAATTTCATTCAATCATATGTTAGTGTATTTACTTTTACTTCAAACTAACTGTTATTTCTTAGTTTCCTATTTATATCTCTCCATCACTCGACTATTTCATTACGATCTGCTGTACAGAATAGTGAATGCCATGAAACCATCAAACCATTGAAGTGAATGCAATACACTGTACCAGTACTATATTGCACAGTATTATATAATATTGTGCACATTAATGCACATCTTTCACATCAATATTCACTCAATTTTTGTAAATTCCAAACATTTAACAAATTTGCAAAAATAGCATTAATTTCATTATTTGTTTCATTCAATTAAACATATTATTTATAAATTATATTTTACATTAAAATTATATTGCGGTAGTTAACAATTTTTCAGTGATAAAATAAAGTGTTACTTGTATAACTGGAGTTTATAAATTTCAAAATTATTTATTAATCTATTTAACATGAGATTTCAATTTATTTAAAATTTGATAGAACAAAAGTATATCAAACATAAATATATCACCAGAATATATTATTAAACAACTAATGCCACAGATTTCATGAAATAATGTTTAATTGTGAGCACTCCATGAAAACTCAATCACAAATCAACCATCAAATTAAAATCCTTGAATTCATTGGCAAACACTACAAACACACTCTATGTACCGTACTATATACTGTACTGCATATACTTTTTTATTTTCCTGATTCTCTCTCTCTCTCTCTCTCTCTCTCTCTCTCTCTCAAACACAGAGTAAAGTATGATTTAAGTTTTTAGTCTGTGATTCAATAATAATTATTAATTCAAGGCTATTTATCAATTGAGAAAACTATACAACACTTTAAGAATATTATTTATTTAATATTAAGGTTGTACAGTATACCGTATTGTCGATGCATAGTGTATACCTTTTTAGATTAATTCTATATGATTATTATAAAATTCTATTAAAATATTAAAAAATACTCAGAATAAGTCCCAAACCACATTTTGTTAAATTGTGACAATTACATATAGGTTTATTTACTATTTTTATATGATGCTTTTGCAACATGTTTTTGTGTTTTATAATTGATTTTTAAACAATTTTGCAATTTAATTTGAATAAAAATATATAATTCTAATTTAGTTATATACTATATAAATTTTAATATAATATAAAATAGCGTTATACTAGAACACTGTGACTGTAATAAGTGATAAATATGAACATTTTGTATAATATACAGGACAACATATATAATATTATAACTTTAGTCAAAATGTACTGATATACTTAATGATACTGTACTTATATTTGATTGTACAGAACGCACAATTAAAACTATATCTTATAAAATATTATTTTTAAATTAATCATTAATACTTCAATTGATTGATTAATTATGACTAATTGAATTTTTAAACATTCATAATGATCCGGGTCATGAATGGTCTTGTGGCTAATCACATGTTGATGAATGGTAGAGCCATACGCTTACAGAGAGTGTTCATCAAATGGTTCGTGGCTTCGGGACAATTGGACTGACTATACCCAGTGTTTGGATTACATTGAACCGGTAAGTCTATTGGTTAGGCTACATACTGTACATACTGTACCAGATCACTGGCAATAATTCAACTTAAAGCTGTATTCAGGGAACGTCATCATAAAGCTTACATTAAACACGTCCTCTATAAGCAAAAGCTTAAATTTAAGTTGAATTATTGTCAGTGATATAAAGTACAGTACAATATGTGCATCAATTGTCTAATGTTCTACCCTTTGAACGCATAATGACTGGCAATCATAGGTTGTCGTACCGATGGCTCATCTTTTCGTTGGTTACATATTATTTATATTTTCTATCTTATCATTGGTTTTGTTATTTGTAACGCTATTTATTTTCTATTATTTCAAGTAAGTCTTATGAGACAACTATTTGTGAATATTTATTTCAAAATTCTTTTTTCAAATATATTAAAATATATATAAATTTTAATTTAAATATTGAAGAAATATTCAAGCTCTAAATTAAATTCTTGATTCAAATATAGTGTTATAGTGCATTTCAGTCAAATATTCTAAATATTTATATTTGTAAAATATCATTTAATCAGTTATATTGAACATTATTTTCAATTTTCAATGCAATTCCAAATAGTTTTCAAAAATATCAATATTTTAATATTTTTGTAAAAGAATATTTAATCGTTTTTAACTTATTTCTATAACTAATTTTTAAGTATTAATAAAAATCCAACTACTCAAGTTAGTTTTTAAATAGTTTTATTTATCTATAAAAATGGTCATTTTCAATTAAATATTTAATCAGTTATTTTTAATTAATGTATTAATTTTTAATAAATTTGGTTAAAATTTAATAAGATTTATATTTAAAATTTTATTTTCCATCGAATTTATTTGTATAGAAACTAATTTCAATTAACTTGTAAGCAGACAAATGCGAAGCAAAAAGAAATTTTAAGAATTATGCATGTTCAAATTGGGCAAACGCAAAGTCCAGGTAAAAGCTATAGGTCAATAATGTTTGCAATTTGTATGCATAGCTATATCATAGGTCCATTGCGTTTGGTGTAGATTGGTGTTTCATTTGAGATATAAATCAGTACATCATTAAAATGGGGATGTTTGTTTTGGTTTGATAACATAGTTTTTCAGATAGAATTTTAAATGGATCGATCTTTTTATAAATTATTCAATATCAATTAAATTTAAATTTTTCCATTCAAACAATCTGCATAATTAAAAATAAATATTTACAAAATAGATTTTAATGATTTTTAAAACTAGATCCAATCACCATGATTAATATTATTTAATATACGATTTATACATTCACAAACAGGCGTTAGTGATTTTTAAAAAAAATTGATTCATGTGTCATTCTCTATAAGTTTATATGAAAGTATAACTAATATTATTATACTAATAAGTTGACCAAGATCTATCGCCAGTCTGTGAATGAATTATTCACACAATATATACTTGTGCTTGGTACTATTTAAAGTTTAGTTAATATTAAAAATATTCTTTCCGTACAACTACAGGTATTATATTATAAAAGGATGTCATGGAATTGCCCAATCTTATTTTTAGAGATTTAAAATGTAGTAGATATTTACTTGAAGCAAAATAATCTAAACTTTGAGTCTCATTCTTTTAATTGTTAAGCATATTATTTATATTGATTTTTATTCATATTATATATTCTTTGAATTGTTTGTAGTTGTTATCTCATGCGAATAAATTTATTTTTCAATATTACTTACAGTTATTATAAGTTATGAAAATCTGAATAATAAGACTTTATTTTACGAATACATACAATAAATATAATGAGTTTTACTTCTACTCTATTAAATTCTTTTGAAGTATTTGTATACTATAGTAACTAACTTATAGTATTATACATAAAAATATTGTATCATATTTTATGTTATATTTAATATATTCTATATTCCCATTTTGTTTCTCATTTATATTTGCTGTGATATTTTTATAATCTGATATTTGACATATTTTTTTATATTTAAGTATTTGCGTAATTTGAATTATTGATATAAATTAAGTGTTTAAAATCACTAAGAAGTGTGCAATACCCTAAATTATTTACATATTTTCGCATAGCCAAGCTTTGTGTTTGTAATACAAAGTTTGTACCTAAATGTATATAATTATCACACAATATTTTCTTAAAAAATAATAAAGATGAACTTCAACGTATTCTAAAATCTTTCCCTGTTCCTAAAACCATAAACATGTTATGTTATTTCAAATATATTTATTTACTTATTTGTTAAATAATTATAAAATTATAAGAATTACTTTTTAAGAAATAAATATTTATTTAAGATTAAATATCGATATATTGCTGATTTAATTTAAGCAAATAAATTAATTTTAAAATTAACTATATCTATGGGAACCATACGAATGAGTTCTCTCTCTACTCTTCTTTAATATGATTGCAATACAGTTAACAGTAATGTAGTCCTATGAATGCAATATTAAAATATCTCTCTCATATTGCTCTTACCATAGATATAATCAGAAATTATATAATATAACATAAACCTTTTTTATTGTCCAGAACGTCTAGATAATTGTAGTTTAAATAGTTTTAAAATGTTCTATATAATTCAACGTAAAATTTAAAGAATTTGATAATTTAAGCTTGTTTTAATATAAAATGTCTGTAAACCAAATAGTTTTTGTACAGTCAAAAAAAGCTCATTTGTGAACACATCAATTCTAATGCCCATAATTTGAGTCAGTCAATCACACTCTTTGTAATTATTATTATAGCAATAATTAATAAGTCTACAATTATGAATCAAAATAAAAAGTATGATACACTGTCTAAATGGGTATTAGAATTTATGTGTATTCAAATTAGCTTTTTGACTGTACACAGTAATTTGTCTAACAAATAAGTTTTGAAAAATTTTTATTTGGTAAATATTTTAATTTTATGACGAATTGAATGAATATGATATGTTAATGCATTATATTATAAGCTATAAATCAAAATTTTATTGTTATTATAAGAATACCAATTGATTAGATTCCTAAATTTCTATTAAATGTAATTTGAATAAAATGTTAGATACTAAATGTATTGAATACTTGAGTACAGTATATGAAATGTATAAAATGATGAATTGTTTGTATTGACAGATCCCTAATGTGTTCGCGACTACGAGTTCACCGCAATCTAGTCATTGCACTCATAATACACTCAATACTACTGATTGTCATTAGTTTGCCTCCAATTTTCAGCGTCTCTTCGTATAGAGATATTGTAAACTAATTATCATTTTGTTTGATAAATGTATTGTATTTGCATCTAAATGGCTATCTATTGAATTCATAGGAATTGTTGTGTAAGGTAGTCATCTCAATGAAACTGTACGCAGCGCTGGCATGTATTAACTGGATGTTCATCGAAGGCCTACTACTTCACAGTCGCATAACTGTCTCCATATTCAGAAAGGATGCGCCTTTCAAACTATACTACTGTATCGGTTGGGGTGAGTCTCAACTATACCTGTTATATATACGTATATGAGGTCCATGTCTATGACAGGTCACCTATCACTCCGATATATTTGTTTTGGTTTTATACAAACCACTATTTTGGATGAGTTGTCAATCGAAACACTATTTGAAGTATACAAATACAAAATAGTCAACATTATATTCAAGTATACAATATTATATCATACAAGTTATATAAGTTGCTCTCTATTCACAACTCATCCAGATAGTCTTATAGTGGGTTTGCTTAAGAAGTCGCATGCTTTAAATCAAAGTTTACTCAACACATTCAATGCAATCAATTGGACTTCATTTAAAATAAGTTCATTTAAACGTATCTAATATACAGTACAACAATGTACAGTATGTTCATATGTTCATCAAATATAATATCACTTCAATTCAAATGTCATTTTATTTTCTATTTAACAGAAATATTTTATAAAATACTGTCTATAGTGAGCAGTGACAGTGTATTATCTGAAAACAGTATATAATATTGTGCTATAATTTGAGAAAATAATTTCTGAAATAGGAAGCGAATCAATGATTTCATAGATATTTTGTGACAAATATTTTATATGAAATTGTCGTCTATTTACAGAATTTTGAGTCAATAAAGTGTTTCTTTTATATATTTAATGTTACAAATAATGTTTCAACAAATAATACTGTTTTAGTGATATTACTAGATTTAATAATTCTGTCATTTAATAATACGATATACATAACTGTATAAGTTATGGTGGTTTTATTTTTCCAAATATTATTTACTTTGATCAATTTTATTAAGCACAAAATAAATAATATTCTTTAAATACAAATAACAAAAAACAGTATATAATATTGTGCTATAATTTGAGAAAATAATTTCTGAAATAGGAAGCGAATCAATGATTTCATAGATATTTTGTGACAAATATTTTATATGAAATTGTCGTCTATTTACAGAATTTTGAATCAATAAAGTGTTTCTTTTATATATTTAATGTTACAAATAATGTTTCAACAAATAATTTATTTTCTTATAAATTGCATGGTACATTTAGTTTAGTATATTTTTAAAATAACTTATTTTGCCTTTTTATATTACTGATGTGTAGCAAATAATTATTTCATAATTTAAGAATTTTTTTTAAGAAAATATTAAATAAATTCAATTTTTGAAATATTATAAAACTGATAAATATATTATTAAATAATATATTAAATTTTGAGCTAGCCTATAATCTAAAAGGGCATTGTTTAAAAATTATAATCTTTAATATAAGATATATTAATACATTTATAGAGTATAATACTGTTTTAGTGATATTACTAGATTTAATAATTCTATGTCATTTAATAATACGATATACATAACTGTATAAGTTATGGTGGTTTTATTTTTCCAAATATTATTTACTTTGATCAATTTTATTAAGCACAAAATAAATAATATTCTTTAAATACAAATAACAAATTATAAAAACAACCATTTTTAAATTATTAATCCAATATTTAAACAAAATAAGCTGTACAATAAATATTTTATCAACAATTTAACTGTAAATTTAGGTCTACCATTTTTAATAATAATAACATGGACAATTACAATGTCACACACTTTGCCAACGTACTGTTGGTCAGGATATGGAGATTCAGTTTATGTTTGGATGATAACTGGTCCTATGATCACGGCTATCGGGGTAATATTGCATATAATATTAATTCTAATATACAGAGCATAGTTGCCAGGTATTTCCAAAACCACTTAACCTTTAATACATATACAATAATTTGGATGATAACTGGTCCTATGATCACGGCTATCGGGGTAATATTACATATAATATTAATTCTAATATACAGAGCATAGTTGCCAGGTATTTCCAAAACCACTTAACCTTTAATACATATACAATACAGTACATGAATATACTGTACAGTACGAGCAGTATGTATTACTATACATACTTGTATTCATAATCAAGTGGTTCTGGAAATACCTGGTTCATATCATTTTTAAATATTACTTAATAAATCAATTTACTACTTTCTGTGATTTACAATTATATTAATAATTCTTACATACATATTAATTGTTTGAAAATATTTTAAATATTCTCTAATAAATATAATAATTTATTTGAAAAAAACGTCTTAAACAAATACAAATTATTCTTAAAAACAAATCAACTTCCTTAACAAGGTGATAAATATTTACAGAACTTATATTTTTTAGGTAAACCATTGAACAATTTTGAGGCAAAAATGAAAAATTATTATCACATACAAATTTATATAAATTTTATTTACATAATACATCATTTCTTATAGTCTCATAGAAAACAATAACAGAATTATATTTGTCTTTATATTCATTTAATTTAAATATTTTTGAATAAAAATTTTAAAATCTGTAATTTTCGATGCTTTTCAAATGAATTGATTTTTAAATATTTAAAATATGAATTGAATATCATATCATAATATCATTCTTTTTAATTAATGCTATATTTCAGGTCAACTGTATATTTCTAATCAATATAATCAGAATCTTAATAACAAAACTTAGACTTACAGTGACTGTCGAAATGACACAAATTCGGTAAGAATTCATTTTATTATATTTATTTTAACTTCTAATCTAAAACAGGAAATTAAAAAATCATACATTTTCCACTTTACAGTTGAAATGAATTTCTTAAAATTAAATAATGTATTAATGCCTGTATTTATATTATCTCAGTTTCAATATTTACTAAAATTCATTCTTAATTTGCATTAGTTATGAAATTTGTAGTCCCAAGTTATTGAAATATTACAATAATTTCTTATAAGTTACAACATGCAACATACATTATGGTTATTAATATAAATACATTTAGCAAGATAGTACAGAGCATTTTGCATATAAGTTCGGAGGATTTTAAAATTTAATAGCATTTTTATTTTAAGGAATAAATAACTTATTTAGCTATCAAATGATAGATTACTTATTAGAGTTTATATTAAAAAAGAAATCAAGTAAAAATAAATAACGATAACAAAATCAGAAATGTTGAAAGTTATGACTACCTAAAAATACTTTCCAGTCTATGTGCCATTTGTGCTATAAGTCATTCAATAGCATTCACTCTTAAAATATCAAAATTATTAAATATTGAAAATGGAATAAATTTAACTCCAAATATCATATTGATATTATGATTTAATACTCACTTAATGTAAATTTTATGTATTTGGTAACTTTTAACCAAATACGTATGATATATGAGCCAATATATTTTTAAAAATCGTGGAAAATAATAAAACATGAGTTCGGTAAACTGCGGGTGACCAAAATGAGGAGGGTATTATTTGAACAGTTATATGGGTTTTATTTTAAAGCTTATATACTGGGTCAACATAAAAAATTATTAAACATTTTTAAAAAGTAATAATTATAAATAATTTTAAGTTAAATAAGGCCTCCGAACTTATATGCAAAATGCTCTGTAGAGTACGTCAAAATCGGTTTGATTAAGAATTAATGCTGTTTTAAACCAATCTATTAAGAATTTATTTATTTTTCAAAACATACTGCACTCATCGATTGTACTCACTTATTCACTTATTTATTATTAAAAGAATATTTTACATATTAGTATTTGTAACAATAAAACTTTAATTTTGTATCATTTATTATTAAATATTAAAAAATAAACTAATAGTTATCTTTGAGTTTGTTTTTTAAATAAATAAATGATTATTAAAAGAATATTTTACATATTAGTATTTGTAACAATAAAACTTTAATTTTGTATCATTTATTATTAAATATTAAAAAATAAACTAATAGTTATCTTTGAGTTTGTTTTTTAAATAAATAAATGATCAACAAATTGTTTGTGTATTGTTTATTTAAAAAGGAGCACTTCAACTCCGATACAATATGTCTGCATAGTATTCAAAGCAATTTGTATTAATCTTATATTACTCATAGAGTTAAAATGCTCCATTTATATAATATAAACGATAGACATTTATAAAAATTATCCCATCTTTCTAATCCCGGGGCATTCATTTAGTGTATGCATTTTTTGACGTAGGTACTCCATTTTATTTCTATATGTAATTATAATTTTACAATTTTTTGTTTAATATTTAACATTAGTTTTGGTTTTTATTAAACATTTTATTAAAACAAATCAAATTATTATTATTATTATTAGAAAAGCCATGAAAGCGACTGCACTTTTATTTCCACTTTTAGGTAATTGTATAATTGATAAATGAAAGCACCTTTAATTAGTCCAAATTAAATGAAAATAATTGTAATGTTAGGAATTTCTCATCTATTGTTTTGCTTTAATCCCGGAGACAATGGACAGTTAGAAAGTGTTTATATGATAACCAACGCTTTTCTTCAGTCATCTCAGGTATAACCAAATGTTTAATTATTTGAATACAACCTTTACTTTATAATTAATCGTCTACATGCATAAAAGGGTTATTTATTTTTGAATTCAAACTGTATGCATAACATAATCATTGCACTTATAGTATCTAGTATTGTTTATTACTCTGAGAAATGCCATGATTATGTTATGTATACAGTTTGCATTAAAAAATATATAACCCTTTTAAGCACCCAGTGGATCAATTGTATTCATATAATTATTATATCATCAGTACCGTATAACTTTATTTATACTATATTAACTTACTAGTGAAATAATGATCTTGTTAATTGGGATTTACAATCAATCCCAATTATATTATGAGAATCCATAAACAATTAAAGATTTATTATACTTTCATATTGATATCACAGTATTACTATTACCAGTATTATTATTATTAAATGAATAATCAATTGAATGTTGAGAGCATAATATGATGGAAGAATGAAATATAATATAAAAAGTGCTAATTTCAGGGCATTTTCGTGTCGGTGTTGTACTGTTTCCTCAACACTGAGGTGCAAACAGTTGTCCGAAACGTATACTTAAGGGCATCGATGAGGAGGAGCGCCAATCCTAACCTTAAGTTCAGTTTTGTGGCACACAATCCAAGTAATAGACGCATGAGATTCCTGTCCCAAACCTCAGCTTCTTTTGTGTCTAACTGGGAATCAGGTCCTCATCACCCGTCAGACAAAACTGTTCACAAACAGTGCCAAGGGTTGGACCTCGAAATGGACCAAATGGACCAAAATAGTGATCACATTGACCACAATGACCACAATGGCCATAATGACCATCACATACAACACTCAACACAATAGTTGTTTAATTGTCTCACACGTGGACCAATTGTTTTCACTTACATTGACGTATATTTTAAACATTTCTTTATTTATTTATTTGATTGCCATTTAGTAAACTATTTAAGCGTTGAAAACAGACCACATATACTGTATACAACCAAATATAATTGTAAGTAATATTGTTTGCTAACACTATTTAAATTCCAAAATCCTTATTACTGTTATGTCATAATGAATTGAATTGTAAAAATGTTTATATAATAATGCAAGTGTTAAGATTTTGAATGTACTAGTAATTGAATAATTTTATACTTTTTTAAAGATCAATTGTGTCAGGACAGGTTTTGTTTTGTCTCCCATTAGTCATCAATTCTTTGATCATTTATAAATTAAAGTTTATTTTATCATATTAATTATAATAATAAATAATTATTTTAAACAATTATATTTATTTATAAAAATATTGACATTTTACATTTATGTAAAACCTAATTTTTAATTTTAAGAATATTTATAATGTCTAATTATAAATTATAAAACTAAATAATATTTTTTATAACCTCTAAAAAACACTAAGTTTTGTATTTAGTGTATGATGCAATGCAATGCAATACAAATGCAATTAACTTATCACTTAATTAATTAATCTTATTGTTTTACACCTTTACCTGTAAAAATAAAATTCATAGGAAATATTGATTTGCAGAATAGAGGGTTTGTTGTTCTTTGTACACTGTTTGTGTCAGCAAATGATTTTTAGTATTTTGAAAGATCTTTCGAACTCTGCTGAGAGAACCCAAATACATTGACCCATTGCTGAGATAACTACCCCTAAAAATGACAATTTTTACATTTAGGGAATTTTTAAAAATCAACGGAGTAAAATTTCGACAAATCCAGAAATAACTTTTCTAGGAATGACCTCGCGCATCATTTCCAAAAATCAGAACTTTAATATCTCTTATATTTTTTGTGATCTCAACATCCCATTCCTCATACCGTTCCCTTCACATCTGGATGGAAAGGGTCATATGGTTGTAATGGTCCCTAAAAACAANATTAGTTTACAATATCTCTATACGAAGAGACGCTGAAAATTGGAGGCAAACTAATGACAATCAGTAGTATTGAGTGTATTATGAGTGCAATGACTAGATTGCGGTGAACTCGTAGTCGCGAACACATCAGGGATCTGTCAATACAAACAATTCATTATTTTTATACATTTCATATACTGTACTCAAGTATTCAATACATTTAGTATCTAACATTTTATTAAAATTACATTTAATAGAAAAGGAATCTAATCAATTGGTATTCTTATAATAACAATAAAATTTTGATTTATAGCTTATACTATAATGCATTAACATATCATATTCATTCAATTCGTCATAAAATTAAAATATTTACCAAATAAAAATTTTTCAAAACTTATTTGGTAGACAAATTACTGTGTACAGTCAAAAAGCTAATTTGAATACACATAAATTCTAATACCCATTTAGACAGTGTATCACACTTTTTATTTTGATTCATAATTGTAGACTTATTAATTATTGCTATAATAATAATTACAAAGAGTGTGATTGACTGACTAAAATTATGGGCATTAGAATTGATGTGTTTCACAAATGAGCTTTTTTTGACTGTACAAAAACTATTTGGTTTACAGACATTTTATATTAAAACAAGCTTAAATTATCAAATTCTTTAAATTTTACGTTGAATTATATAGAACATTTTAAAACTATTTAAACTACAATTATCTAAACGTTCTGGACAATAAAAAAGGTTTATGTTATATTATATAATTTCTGATTATATCTATGGTAAGAGCAATATGAGAGAGATATTTAAATATTGCATTCAGAGGACTACATTACTGTTAACTGTATTGCAATCATATTAAAGAAGAGTAGAGAGAACTCGTTCATATGGTTCCCATAGATATAGTTAATTTTAAAATTAATTTATTTGCTTAAATCAGCTTAAATTTGCTTAAATGTATTTAATCTTAAATAAATATTTATTTCTTAAAAAATAATTCTTACAATTTTATCATTTAATAAATCAGTAAATAAATATATTTCAAATAACATAACATGTTTATGGTTTTAGGAACAGGGAAAGATTTTATAATACGTTGAAGTCCACCTTAATTTATTTCTATGAAAATATTGTGTGATAATTATATACATTTAGATACAAAGTTTGTATTATAAACACAAAGCTTTAAGATATGCGAAAATATGTAAATAATTGTGGGTATTGCACACTTCTTAGTGATTTTAAACACTTAATTTATATCAATAATTCAAATTACGCAAATACTTAAATATAAAAAATATGTCAAATATGAGATTATAGAAATATGACAGCAAATATAAATGAGAAGCAAAATGGAATATAGAATATATTAAATATAACATAAAATATGATACAATACTTTTATGTATAATACTATAAGTTAGTATACAGGATACTATAGTATACAAATACTTCAAAAGAATTTAATAGAGTAGAAGTAAAACTCATTTTGTATGTATTCGTAAACTAAAGTCTTATTATTCAGATTTTCATAACTTATAATAACTGTAAGTAATATTGAAAAATAAATTTATTCGCATGAGATAACAACTACAAACAATTCAAAGAATATATAATATGAATAAAAATCAATA